TCAGTACGCACTTTCCCTGTGTAGTCAGATCTCTTTGCTAAGAGGTTTAGCGCTTCAAATGTAGTCAACAAGTAATACATGCACTTAATACATTTCCTTGCCATCTACTTAATTGTTTAAATCCAATAAAAGTAGCCTACTTGATGTGTTTAACTCTGCCAGGAAGTTCCCTGGCCTATCGCCAATAAAACAATTCCTGTTGGCGTTTTCTGAGGTTTTTTTTTTTTTTTTAAAAAAATATATATTTTATTGATTTTTTACAGAGAGGAAGGGAGAGAGATAGTTAGAAACATCGATGAGAGAGAAACATCGATCAGCCGCCTCCTGTACACCTCCCACTGGGGATGTGCCCGCAACCAAGGCACACGTCCTTGACCGGAATCTGACCGGGGACCTTCCAGTCCTAAGGCCAACGCTCTATCCACTGAGCCAAACCGGTTACAGCTCTGCTGAGTTTTAACATCAGAAAAGATGTAAACTTTGAACTATGATAATTATAAACTCTTTAAAACTACAAAAAACTCTCTAAGTTGTTTTCTTGCAAATAAAACTTCACCTTCATTTAAAAATTACACAACAGCACAATCTGAAGCTTCTGGTATTTCTGTGTCCTGTAAAAATAGTCAGCCCTGTGCCATTCCATCACGGGAGTCATCAGGACATGATAGGGATGGAGATAAGGAGCTACCTTGTAGACATCAAAGCAGGTGAAGTTCAGTCTCTGCCTGGGCAACAAAATAACCACGTACTTTTTTTCCATTCTAGGTTCTAACAAAGAACTACCATAAATAGTTGAAATTTGCAGGAGGAGGGAAATTCCTAGAGAAAGCCAGTTTTGTTAAACCTCTTTTTTTCTTAACCAATTACTTTCAAACATCATGCCAGAACAACTAAGAAAGCAGCATTCCCCATGAACCTGGCATCCTCCCTGTGCTCATCCTATGATGAAAAACCCTCCATATGCTAGGACAGCAATAATCCCACCGTGGCGGGCGCAAAGAGGTAAGGCTAAGAAATGAGATGACCTATAATAATCAACTGATCTCTAGAGTTGGTTCTACCAACATGACTCACGCCTTCAAATTATAGGAATACATTCCCCCCCCCCTTTTTTTTAAAGAAATGCTTACACATGATCAAGTACATTAGGAGGACTGAAAAGTACCTTTGCTTTAAACAAATACAATTAATTTTTGGCACATGTTAGAAGAAATGGAGTAGTAGAAAGAGTGGGGCTTTAGGGAGAAGACTTGGCTGCAAGATACCACTCATTTGCTGCATGACCTTGGGCAAGGGCAAAATGCCTGCCCTCCTGAGCAGCAGTCCCATCATCTGCAACACAGCTAACACCACAGCCCACAGTGTTATCACAGGGGGCAAATGAGAATGGGTCTGAAAGGCTTTTGTAATTTCTGAAGTCCCATACACATTATTGGTTTTTTATGACCTTAGAGCACTACACAGTTTTTATTTTTTTTTTAACAAACTTTTTTTTAAAAGTATATTTTATTGATTTTTTACAGAGAGGAAGGGAGAGAGATAGAAAGTCAGAAACATCGATGAGAGAGAAACATTGATCAGCCGCCTCCTGCATATCTCCTCCTAGGGATATGCCCGCAACCCAGGTACATGCCCTTGACCGGAACCGAACCTGGGACCCCTCAGTCCGCAGGCCGACGCTCTGTCCACTGAGCCACACCAGCTTCGGCCACAGTTTTTAATAATAGTTATTAAAGTGGCCTGGCCAGTGTGGCTCAGTGGTTGAACATAGACCTGTGAACCAAGAGATACAATTCGGTTCCTGGTCAGGGCACATGACGGAGTTGCAGTTGCTTGCATGCTCGATCCCCAGTGGCGGGGGGCGAGGGGGGTGTGCAGGAGGCAGCCAATCAATGATTCTCTCTCATCATTGATGTTCCTCTCTCTCTCCCTCTCCCTTCCTCTCTGAAATCAATAATATACTTAAAAAGAAAAAGATGTGTTCAAAGTAGGAACATTTTGTGGCACTCTTACTTGCCCTCACACCATCCTCTCCCTGGCACCATGGCAGTCATGGTCTTGGTGACAGTCATGATCTCAAAATCTCAAATCAGTAGCTGGGTTCCCAGTTCCCTCCCTTGAAACCAGTGGCCAAATCAGACCTTATTTGCAAATGCTTGTGTAGGTGCACCTTGTCCCATGTTCCTTTCTTCTTGCTGCCTTCTGGATTATTCATGTATTTCATTCCCTCTATTTGTTTGAAATTTATAACTTTTCTGGTGTTTTGTTTGATATCCTTAATTTATCAAACTATATTTGCCCAACTGAAAAGCATTTAAAAATATATTTTTATTTATTGCTGAAACCGGTTTGGCTCAGTGGATAGAGCGTCGGCCTGCGGACTGAAAGGTCCCAGGTTCGATTCCGGTCAAGGGCATGTACCTGGGTTGCGGGCACATCCCCGGTAGGAGATGTGCAGGAGGCAGCTGATCGATGTTCCTCTCTCATCGATGTTTCTAACTCTCTCTCTCCCTTCCTCTCTGTAAAAAATCAATAAAATATATTAAAAAAATATATATATTTTTTTATTTCAGAGAGGAAGGGAGAGGGAGACACAGAAACATTAGTGATGAGAATCATTGATTGGCTGCCTCCTACATGCCCCACACTGGGGATCAAGCCCACAATCTGGACATGTGCCCTGACTGGGAATCAAACCGTGACTTCCTGGTTCATAGGTCAATGCATTATATTCCTCAGCACACTTTTACCTATAGCCAAGTCACCAATTCCTTCTTCAGCTATGTCTAATGTGTTGTTAAACTCATCCATTGACTTCTTACATTTTGCTGTTACCTATCTCAGCCTTATCACTTCTACTTCTTTTAAAAAGAATTTTATTGCTGATATTACAGATGTTCCCCATTTCCCTTCCCCTTTGCTCCCCTCTTCCCAGCTCCCGCCCCTCCTCAAGCCTTCACTGCACTATTGTCTGCATCCATGGGCTATGCATATCTATACTAATAAAAGCCTACGTGGTCGTGATGCCCTCACACCGTGCTGCCCTCATGCCATGAGCGATCACCAGGCTGCATGTGCAGCAGGCATGCATGGGTGGGAGGGGCTGCATGCACACACAGGTGGGCGGGAGCTTGACACTGCATGTGCAGCACGGAGGTGGGTCCTGCAGCTCCATGCGGCGAGGCCTGGGGGTCCCGTGGCTCCGCAGCAGGACCCCTAGCTTCGGCTTACCTCTTTGGGGCAATCCATTGAGGAGCCCCGGATGGGTGGGCGGGGCCTACCTCTTTGGGGTGATTGCAGGGCTCCCACTATGAGGACACAGGCCAGGCTGGCTCTCCCCTCCCCCAGTGCACAAATTTCATGCATCAGGCCTCTAGTATAAATTCCTTGGCTAATCTCTTCCTGCTCTCCTGAGATCTGTCAGTCTTTTCCATGCTTCCGTATCTCTGGACTTAACTTGTTCATCAGTTTATTTTGTTCATTGGACTCCATATATGAGATCATGTGATAAATTTGTCTTTCTCTGACTGGCTTATTTCCCTCAGCATAATAATCTCCGGGTACTTGGTTCTTTTTCAACTCATTTTTTTTCAAAGTTTAAGTTGTTCACTGGTAATTATTTCCGTGACAAATAAACAGCTTGTTTACACTGGTGAGAATTATATCTGAGGCAGCTCTATGTATTTGTTTTTATTTCTCCCAATTCCTACGCAAGTTGTCTTTTTATGACGTCTTTGGTTAAATCGGGTAATTTTAAATGACTTCACTTTAGGAGGGCTTTGACCACGAGGAATTATCTACAGGCAATGAGGTCTTTCTGTCCTTACAGCCCATTTTGAACCAACTCTTCAAGCCTGCTTCCTCATTTACAAAATGGGGTAATAGTGTTTAAATCATACAGCCTACCTGTTTAAATGACAGCTTTTGAGTTCCTGAACCCAGTCAGACCAGAAACTAGCATTTGTTTCCTTTAAGTCACCTTGGAACTCTGATTTTTGCCTGTGTCAACTGCACGACTAGATTGGTGGGTGGGTAATGCTGGGCTGAATGAACTCCCAAGTAGGTCTCAGACCTGGTGCAGCAGCAGACTGGGGGGAATGTTGAGGCTGACTCTGGAAATGACCCTCAACTGCTGGATTCCCTTCCTCAGTGTGAGGGACTAGGGTCGTCCTCTGTCCAGATACCATGCATTTGTCCACATCCCTCCATCCCACAGAAGCCATTCCTGAAGTGATGGTTGGGACTCACAAGAGGGGTCAGGTGGGAGATTTCTGCTTAACCGGCCTCTTAAGCTCCTACTATACGAGAACCTGCGAGAGCCTTCTATGATAGATTCTTTAGCTCACTCTTCTCTGGGATGAGGCTGGAGGGATCCTGCCTGGTGGGGGAGCTGGGGTCATGGTGGGATAGGGGCTAAATACAGGGGCAACAGACACACAATTTTTCTTGGGTTGGCTGGTATGGGCCAGGGGTACCACCTCTGCAATTCCCAGAGGACACTACAGGGGGCCTGTGGGGCAGTCTGTATAGTATTTTTATGCCCAGAAACCACGCATCTGCCCAAGTGGATGCCTGTCTGGAACAGAGGCACCTTCCCCATCAGCTGTAGCGCAGGTCATGTCCAGAAAAAAGATTCCCGTCCTGGACCCAGGGGTCCAATGGCCCCTGCAGACACCAACCCCAGTGTGACTGATGAGGTGCTGACCTGACAGAACTCCAGCAATTGCTTGACCTCTGTACCTGTTTCCCCATCTCAAACCGGAAATGGCAACTCTTGACTCCTGTGAGGATTATGAGTTAATACGTGCAAAATGCTCTGGAAAACACAGCCACTTGGTGCTGGGAATTGTATGTGGTGTGCAGATGGTGCTTCTAAAGCTCTTAGAGTAGCACCTGGCACAGGCTGGCACTCAATGAGCACCCACCACACACCTGGCGTTCAATAAGCACAGAACCACAGGTGCTTAGTGAGCATGTGAACAAAAAAACCAACCCCACAGTGCCGAGGGACACACTGGCACTTTTATATACACAGCGCAAAGTACAGGGTCTCAATAAGAAAATACACTCTGTGCTGAGGTGTACCACCACCACCCTTCAGTACACCCCAGATTAACGACACAGGAAGGAGAACAACCATAAATACAGGAGAGAAGGGAAGGTTAATGCTCTAAGGGGGCAACACAGGCAGAAACACACTGCCGGGAGGACACACAACCTCTTCTTCCCGGGAAAGAGCAATATGGCGCACAAGAAAACAGTAGCCACAACTAAGCCTGTGATGCCTGGCACGGGGCACCTACATGGTTAAGAGGGCAGGGGTGGAGGGGAGAAGGAAGAGAGCAGAGAGAGCTTCCTTTCCTGCTGCAGGCCCGAGGTTGTTCAGTTTACATCCATGGACTCAGATATGGGGTCATAGGCAGGAGGTGCTGGGGGGTCAGATTGGCCAGGCTGGGTCTTGGTTTTCAGACGACTTGCCACGTCCTGGCGTTGATAGAAGAGGACATAGGCGGCCTTGGACTGCAGGGAGAGCACAGGAGTCAGTGTAGACCAGGGTGGAGGGAGGGGCGGGAGAACGGGAGAAGGGGGGACAGAAGTCACACCTCAATCTGATTCTCGGTCACAGGTGAGACGCTGTTGTCATCAAAGTAGTGCCACTGTCCACTGTCCTTGTTGCAGGCGAATGTCGTGTCTGGAAGAGAGGGAGGGTTGTCCTCACCCACCCCTGGCCCCTAAGAGGTGTCCAGGTTTGCGCTCTTACTCCTTCCACCCTGATGACCCCACCACCCAGGGCGTGCCCCTGCCACCTACAGTGTCCATCACGCAGGCCGCCATAATGGTTGGACACGGCAATGAGATCGTATTTGTACAGCTCTGGGGCTGACTCGTCCTGTGGCTTGATGACAAACTCAGAGAAGTCCAAGTCCCTGTGAGTGAGGGGAAGGTTAATACTAGCCTGCCTTGGCCCCACTGCCCGCTGTCCCCCCAGCCAGCCTCCCTGGGCTCCATACCGAATAGGAAACTCCACAAGGGTGTCCAGCTTCTCTCGGGAGAACTTGGTGTAGGAGAAGCGCTTCAGGTGTATAATGAGTGTCTCAGGCAGTGTCCACAGGTCCAGCTTCTTGGTGGCCAGCTGGTGCTGCTTGCAGTTGGGGCAGTACCTGCAGACAGAGCCCGAGTCAGTACAGACACCTGGGCATGCTTTGTAGCAGGTGGCCCTCACGGGCCCTGTCCAGCCCAGAAGTGCTGATCTTATTTCTAGCCTGCTGGTTACTCTAGTTGGCTCTTGACGTGTCATTCAAGGGTTCACCAATTACCTGCTCTATATAAGCTTCTGTACTGGTGGGTATTTTTGTTTGGTTTCTGGCCCAGGAGGCAGTGCTGGCCCTATTTCAGAGGCCACCTCTGGCCCCTCGTTTTCTATTTCACTCGCTCACCAGGCATTCACCGGCTGTCCTGCTCAATCCTTTGGCACTCTGTATTTCTTTTTTTTTTTTTTTTTTTTTTAAATATATTTTATTGATTTTTTACAGAGAGGAAGGGAGAGAGATAGAGAGTCAGAAACATCGATGAGAGAGAAACATCGACCAGCCGCCTCCTGCACATCCCCCACCGGGGATGCGCCCGCAACCCAGGCACATGCCCCTGACCGGAATCGAACCTGGGACCCCCCAGTCCGCAGGCCGACGCTCCATCCACTGAGCCAAACCGGTTTCGGCTGGCACTCTGTATTTCTGTTCCCTTTCTGCTCCAGAGACAGATGCTCTTGTTTCTGAGACCGGCTTGATCTTTTCGGCCCTCTAAGTTTTGTTTATTCTGTAAGGATCTACTGAGCACCCACTGCCCATCCCACACTATTATAACCATTGTCTTCAGCCTCAGGGGGTTTACTCTAACAGATAAGACAAATAGTGACGCAAAAGGGGATCTAGGATGTGACCTCAAGTGGTGTTACTGAGCCAGAAAGCGTAATGCCCAGCCAGGAAGAAAAGAGCACTGGGAGGTCATGGACGGAGGTGACGGGGTGGTAAGAGAACATCTGATAAGCTGACACTGGATAGAAAACCTGAATAAAATGAAGGAGTCCTGGCCAGAACCGGAGGAAGAGCATTCTTGGGAGAAAGAACAGCCCCGGCAAAGGCTCCGAGGTGGGAATACAGTTGGGGTGTTGGTGGCCAGAGTGACACGAGGGTTTGAGTGAGGGGGGCGGGGGGAGAAAGAGGTACATTTAGAGGTAAAGGACCTGGGCAGGCAGTCCCCCCCAGCTAGAGCCCTAGAGGCCAGTCCCTCACCAGGGGTTCTCCTTCTCCAGGGTCTCCATGGTGGTGAAGAGCTCAATGCATTCCTGCAGTCGCACAGGAGCCTTCTTCAGCACATACCCCACGCAGTCATGCTTGACGTAGCCCTACAGTGGGGAGTGGCCCGCGGGTGTGGGCAGATAAAAGAGTGGTTTAGAGCGTGGACTTAAGACAGGAATCTAAGGCCCTAAACAGGAACTCTGTGGTCACAGCTTGAAGGCCTTGGGTGGATGTGTGAAAAGTTAAGGGACAAAGGGACAAAGCTGCAAGTGCCCCCCTCCCCCCCGGGACCTTGTTTACCTCAGCTTCCACCTCGTCATAGTAACGCTTCTTCATCTCTGGGTCCCAGTCGATGGCGATATAGGGCTGGGCTGGGGGTGAGGGAGGTGATCATGGGCCCTGCTACCAAGGAAACCCCCTCCTGAACCCCCCCCTCCCCGCCGCCCCTGGATCGCAGCTGAAGGAGAAACCTTGAGTATCCTCGTTAAAGTTGGAACGGTCACTGGTCCCGTTGGAATTCACCGTTTGCAGGGTGAACAGGTGCTTGCGCCGAGTTCTCTGGGGCCAGTGTGATGGTCCAGGAGAGCTGTCCGTGGGGGCCCGGCTCCCACTAGCGACTCCAGAACTGGGCCCAGCCTGCTCCGGCCCAGGGTCTTGGGAACTGCCCCCAGCCACGTTTCCAGGCTTGGGGATGTTCTTACCACCCTCCACGTCTGCTAGGATAGGGTAGGATGTCAGAGATAGGTGTGTGTGCAGCCGAGTGGGTGAGTGTAGCGACTATCCGGGTAGACTCTATGGGAATCAGGCTTACCCTGACCCCCTCCTCCTAACCCTCCTCCGGCTACCGAATTGCTTATACAAACCCCCATCCTTGCCTAGCCTCGCCTTCTTCCTCACCTTTCTCATCACCATCATCCTCATCATCCGAGCTGGGTCTGGTCACATAGCGTCTATGGAAAGAGCAGGAGACACTCAGGAGGGGCACAGGGCAGGAGGGCAGAGCCCAGCATTGGCTCAGTAGTGTCAATGAAGAGCCCAGAAGGCCTTAGATGACACAGAAGCGCATGAAGACACCACCGGACAACGGAGGACCTGGTGTGCCTCAGGGAAGGAGTGTGGATCTTAAGTGGGATGAGCCCCTGGCAAGCAGACACCTGATCTGCTGTCAATTTCGGGCAGGGAAGGCCTGTGAGGAGTGGATTTGTAAACGTAACATGAGGGAGGGTTAAGCCAGACACCAAGCGCAGTGCTCTGCTAGATTCACTAAGGACTCTGGATTGTAAACCCAATGAAAACCACTGGTAAAAACGCAAGCAAGCAAGCCTGTACGAGGAGAAGACAATGAACACAAGATGAAGTTGTCTGTATTTTGTCCATTTTGTACACCTTGGCATCCCTAGCTCCTAGGAGAGGCGGTGGCCAAGCCAGAGGTTTAGACAAAGCAAAAACCTACATGCTCCTCTCTGGCTGTATGAAGCGTGAGCTTTCTTATCGCCGTGGGTGGGAGATGGTAGCCAAGCAGCTAGACACCAGGTTTCAATTGAGACCCCACCCCCGTCCCCTGAGGGCAAACTCACGAGAGGCGGTATAGCAGGATGTGGTACAGGGCGTCCCAGGAGAGGCGGTCCCGGGGCACGGACACCAGAAGCGGGTGTCCGAAGAGCATGAGGCCATAGTAGGAGGAGTTGTAATCACGGGCTGGGGTACGTTCTCGCAGGTAGATGGGGATCACGACGTCTTCCCTGGTGTTCTCCGTGATAGAAGACCTGCCTGACACCTCGTATCTGCGGGGGTAGACATCTGGTCATGCCCGATCAGGACACCCAAGAGGGACTCTCGCACTCTGACCCAGTCGCTCCACTCACTCACTCACACATCACAGCCTGAAAATACCTTTATATTTTTAATTCTCACCTACTGAGCAAGGCTATTTTTCTCCATTGATTTTTGTCACCCAGTGTTTTGTGCTTTGCAAATGGCTCGATGATTGAAATGGTGCATTATGGGATGTTTCTAAAGTACTTTGGTAATACCAAAGCACTGAGGGAGTGAACAAAAACTTTTATTGACAAAGGGATTTAAAAACCATTTTCTTGCCCTGGCTGAATTTGGCTCAGTGGATAGAGCGTTGGCCTGCAAACTGAAGGGTCCCGGGTTCGATTCCGGTCAGGGCACATGCCCAGGTTGTGGGCTCAATTCAGTGTGGGGCATGCAGGAGGCAGCCGACTGATGATTCACTCTCATCATTGATGTTCCTATCCCTCTCTCCCTCTCCCTTCCTCTCTGAAATCAATAAAAGGTATATCTAAAAAAACACGTTTTCTTTTTGGAAAACACTGTTTGGTTTCAAAGAACTTTTGTACTCATGAACCGCTTTCTATTTTAGTTACCTGAGGATTTTAATGTTTTGAATGTTCTCAGGTTCAGAAAGCATCTAGTGTTTTTGAGGACTGCAGTATGAGAAAGGAGTGCAGGTCAGTGGTACATAGGAGGTGCTCAATAAATGCTGAATAAAATCTCCACTGCTGGCCCCAAGCCCCTGCCCCACTGAAGCATGTGGCCAAAGACTTGTGCAGGGCAGGTGCCTGTCAACTGAATGAGGAGGGGAGAGGGAATGTGATTAAGCAAAAGATATCCCTGAGGAGCCCCAATCGCCCTGGGCCCCTCACTCACATGAATATATCGTCTCGATCCAGGATGGTACTCAGAGACTCATCCAGCTGGAAGATCTTATAAAAGCGGTGACTGAACACATCGGCTACCATCATCTGGGAACAGGATGCCGCGAAGGGGCTGGTCAGTCTGGGCCTCCCTCCACAGGCCCTCCGACCTCCCTGTCCCTGAATCCCATCCTCCCTCCCTCCCTCCACTCGCAGAGCCTCACTCACTCTTTCCGGTGAGACACCAGTGTGCTTGGCCAGGGCCATGCACAAGTCCGAGATTTTGCCTTTCTTGGGGACGACGAGCCGGTGCTGTGGGAGAAACAGTACCACAAAAGAGCAGGAGAGCATGTAGGGAGTTAGTGCAGGAACCTTGAGGCATGGCGGAGTAATCAGAGGAGCTGACTACACGTCCCTCATTATGTCCCCATGTCACCATACCTGTTCTGGCTTGCGGCGGGGGTCCATAGAGACAAAGAAGACCTCCATGACCCTCTTGTGGCTGACAGGCAGTGGGACACTGAGGTAGCAGAAGGGGTCAAAGGTCACAGATACGTTGCCACAATCAGGGCACACCAGCGTGGACTTGAAGAGTCCGTGGAAAGTGTCCACAATCACAGAATCGTTCCGCCGTTTGTGGTTCTGCCAGGCCTCCACAGCGACCTCCTGTTGACAGCATCATGGTGGGTGGCGGAGCTTGCTCGGTGTAGGGGAGCCATGGTTTGGGGTGATGTGCATGGGGTTAAAGTTAAGTTAGGGCCTCAGGTAAAGTTCAGAGGCAGGTTTATGGCCAGGGGCCAGGGCTGTCTGGAGCCTTTGCTGTCAGGGCTGGGGTTTGTTTTCTGCAGCAGACTGGGTGGGGGTTAACTTTGGGTTGGACGCAGGGGGCAGATATGGTGTTGGAACCAAGGTTGGGACTGAGGTTTGAGTTGGGGGTGGGGTGTAGGACAACCTAAGAGAAGTCAGAGAAGCCCTGAGGGAGAGGCCCTAGTGGCTTTAATGGGGCTCAGAATGGGGGGCCCTCAGGAGCACCTACTTGATCAGGCCGCCCAGCGGCATCACACTGCTCCACGTACTCCTTCTTCTTGACACGATTGAGGTCCTCATGTAGCCCATCCAGAAGGAATGATAGCAGCTCCTGCGAGTCGTGCTGCTGGTAGCCCAGAAACTGGGATGCAAAGTGGCCGACCTTGGTCTGAGAAGACGGACAGGGCCGGCAGTGCAAGAGGTTAGTTAGGAGTCAAGGGAAGTGTGCGCGCGCGCATGCGCAAAGGAGTGGGGCGGGGGGAGGCAGCCCAGGGCTGAATCGCACCTTGAACACATTGGGCACAATGGAGCGGTGGCGGCCGGACCAGGCCTGCTTCACCAGATCCGCATAGGCCTCTGCAATCTCACCCTTCATGCCCAGCGGGTTGCAGAAGTTGAGCTCATCCAGGTAGCGGTTTTTGAGGAAGTACTCGGTGAGCTGGGGCACATTGCTGAGGCACTGCAGGGGCAGGGGCAGGGGCAGGGCCAAGGGAGTGAGGTGGAAAAGAGGAGAGAGAGGTGACCGAGGTAGGAACCGAGAAAAGGAAGTGAGAAGGGGGAGGAGAGAGAAGGGGCAGAGGGATGGATGAGAGAAGGAAAGGTGTAGGAGTAGGAGAGAATGCAGTGACAAGAGGGAGAAGGAGGAGGAAAGCAGGAGGCGAGTGCAAGAGAAGCTATTGATGTTTCAGGAAGGAACGTGAACATGTGAGGTCAGACTTGTGGCCCCTTGCCCTGACGACCCTGTCCTCAGTCCCCACGGCTTGAAGCCCAGCCTTGTGGCTGTGCCCGTCATAGCCCTAATGGCCCTACCTGCAGGGCCGAGTTCATGAAGCATGTGTTGCCCAGGTTGGTGAGGCCACAGATGCCTGGCTGGCCGTGGAATTCCTCCTCCTCCTTTGTCGCGCTGCTCCTGTGGTGGATGAGAAACTGTCAGCTGAGGGCCTACTACATGCAGGTGAACCGTGCTCAGGGACTCCATTGTTCTGCCTACTGTGGGACCCCGCTCTGGACCAGACATCCCAAGGGCTTACCCAGCGCGTGTCTGTTGGCTGGGCCAGGTGCCATCCTTGCTTCGGGTCTCCATGACGACCAACTGGTTGGAGGAAGAGAAAGAGAAACGGGAAAGGCCGATGGGCACCTAGCCCTCACCTCCCCGTCTGAGCACCGCTGGGGAGCAGACAAGCCCTCCCCACCCTTACCTGCCCGGACTTGAGAGAAGCGGTGCGCAGTGACACACGTGTGTTGCACAATCTCTCAAAGGAGCCCTCTGCGTTCTTGACCCAAAGCCGTGTCTCTTCCTGGGGGCTCACCACGAACTGATCTTGAGCGGTACGCAAAACTAGGTCTGGAGAGTGAAAGGACACATTTGAGGTCATCCTGGGATCCCGAATAATCAACCCATCTTGGCCCCAGACCCCGCCTCATCCCCACAGACCCTGGTCAAAACCTTGTGTCCTAATCAACCTCCATGGCTGACCCATACTCAGGACTTGAGACACACAGCAGATACCCTCTGCCACACCTGCGCCACTGCTAGAGGCAGCTCACATACCTTTGGGACCTCTCAGGCCTTCTGCCCACCTGACCAATGCCTTCTCAGTCCTTTGAAATCTGCCCTGTGCTCAGTCTGCACAGCGGAACCCCATGCATTGTTAGGTCACCGAGCTATGACCCAGGGCTTGGAAGTCCAACTCACTCATGACCCTTAGACTCACCAATGGAATCTGTTTGGCTGAATTCAGCGGTGTGAGTTTTGTCCATATCACTGTGCTGGGCAAGCAGCAGTTCTACTGGGTACACTTCGACCTCACAGTTGCCACGCCAATCTACAACCTGGCAGGGTGGAAGAGCACACACAGTGTACCCACACCACACACACGTGCATAAAAACCTCTGAGGTCAGAGGGGCACAGGCAAACACACAGGGGATACACCAGACACCTGTATAATGACCTATGAAGGGAGAGGAGTGCGGGCACAGGTGTATCTATACAGTACATGTGGAAACACATGTACACACATGGATCTGGACCCATCTCGGGCTCATAAGGCCTTCCTTCTACCCCCTCCCTCCAAATCTACCTCCTAGCACCCTCCCCACCCACTATACCTTGCGTTCAATGGGCGGTTGGCCATGCTCTAGGCCATACCAGCTGACCAGGAGAGTCCAAGCAGTGGAAGAGAGCAGCACATAGTCCTCACCTTCCACCAGTCCCTTCTTGAGTTGCCAGTTTATGTTGTCTGTGGGGGGCAGGGGGAGGTGGCAGAGGAAGAATCAGGGAAGGAAAGTGATGAGTAATCTGGCCATGTCACCAATAACCTAACAGAGAAGGGGCTATGATCATTTGTAGGGACAAAAGGGAAAAGAATTCCAGGGCTAGGCTGCTATAGGGAGGCAGAGGCCTGGTACCTTCAAAGAGTTTAGCATTATTGATACAGCCAGGGATGGTGCTGGGGTCTTCGTCTCCTTCCCGCACGTACACTTCCCACTGTTTGTACCAGTCAAGATCCACAAGGAACCTAGACCAGAGAAGTAATAGGGTGTCACATGGTTGTCTGGGGGTTAGTTTTACCACTTCCCAAGGTTATCAGACTAAAAGTACCAACACATTATAAATCAAGACAAGTTTCATACATCCCTGAAACGGACACAACGTTATATGTCAATTATATCTCAATTAAAAAGAAATTCCTCCTAGAATTCAAATTAAAAAAAGTTTCAGCATCATACAAAACTCAGAAGCAGAACTTACTCAGTGAAACTCAGATTTAGGTATCTAACTTAAAAATGTTTTTAATTTATTGATTTGAGAGACAGAGACAGGAAGGGAGAAAGAAAAACATCAATCTGTTGTTCCATGTATTTATGCATTCATTGATTGATTCTTGTATGTGCCCTGACCAGGGATAGAACCGGAAACCTTGGCGTTTTGGGATGCACTAACCAATGGAACAACCCGGCCAGGGTGAGATTACCTAATTTCTTAGGATGCTAGAAGATATTTGATTAATAAAAGATGTGCTCAAAAAAGGGAAAAACACCACACCCACAGTGCTGGGGAAACATGAGATTTTATTATAGAATAAACAATAATTCATTAGACTGTGGTGTAACACAGTTAAGTTAGGCTCAAAAAACAAATTATTTGCAGCTAATGTTATTAGGTGTTAGCCCTTCATTAATTGTGCAGTGTTTGTAACAAGCCAAAAATGGAGACAAAAATCTTCAGCCAATAAATGGATTAGTAAACTGGAAATCTGCTCAGAAACTGAAAAAAATTTTAAATGCTAAAAGAACCATAAGGTTTTCTTCAAAGATCACATATCACCATTTTTCATCATTTTCATATTTAGAATTTCTTTTGGCTTTATAATACATCTGAGCTTATGGTGATTAGCTCACTTTTTAAAACACCGTGGTAAAAGACATATAACAAAATTTACTATCTGAACCACTGTTAAGTATACAGCTGCGTCAGGTATTTTACAGGAGGAACTTTCATATGCGCTGTTAGGTTAAACAGTTAGGACTGATGGCATCTGCCTTTATAAAATGTCCTGAGAAATTTTCCAGTCTGAAAAATAGCTGACATATATTAAGTGTAAAATAAACATTAACTGTTACTGTTCAATCCCAGGGCTTGAACATAAAAGCTCATGTACATACAGACACACAATCCCTGCTCCCCCCGCCCCCCAGCAAACCTGCTCAGCGATGGTATTTCTGACACATAAAAGGCTGTCCTAAGTATTTAACAGCCTCAAATAAACACTTTTAGAGAAATTACAAAACTGATGAAAAATATGTAATGCTTATTGGTAGTTTTCCAGCAATTTAACCCTATAAAGGGGATTCTTTAAAATGGCTACTTTCCTTTGTTTACAGTTTATAAAAGGATTAGTGAGGTGGGGGATGGAGTAGTAGAAAAAATCCTGGGATAGTCACAAGTGGCTGTCTGAATAGGCAACCATTTCTGTGGGTTCCCCCCACCCCCGCCCCACAAACCCTGCACTTCATTCCTGCCAAAGACACACACCCTCCCCACCCCGTGGCTCCTGCCACAAACCTCCCTCCCATCACTGACCCTACATCCTTTCCCTTCGTGGTTTTCATTGCCTCCATTGACAGTCTATGAGACTTTCAATACAAAAGGAGAAATTATTCAACTTTTTTTTAAAAAGCAGATTTTCAAGGAAAATTAACATTCAAGCCACTCTTTTTTTAAAAAAATATTTTTATTGATTTTTCACAGAGAGGAAGGGAGAAGGCTAGAGAGCCAGAAACATCGATGAGAGAGAAACATTGATTGGCCGCCTCCTACACACCCCCCTACTGGGGATGTGCCCACAACCAAGGCACATGCCCCTGACCGGAATCGAACCCGGGACCCCTCAGTCCACAGGCCGACGCTCCATCCACTGAGCCAAACTGGTCAGGGCAAAGCCACTCTTTATAGAGGTAAGCAAAACCACCAGACCTGGCTACACCCTGAATTTCTAAAGGCTTCAAAGAAGACTGAAGTTCTACACCCTGAATTTCTAAAGGCTTCAAAGAAGACTGAAGTTTTACACAAATTACTATCATGTTCCTTTAATTGAAAGACACTTAAAATTTTTTTTAACATCTCTGAAATTGGGATGTCTCATGATGTTGTCAGCCCAGGTGGCAGTCATACAGAGTTATCATTGTTTGATTGAAAAGTACCCACATTGTTATATCTACTTCTAGGTATTAAGATTTTTCTGGGGGGGATGCTATTGTAAATGGCCTCCTTTAAAGTTTAATTTTCTAATTTGTTATGGCTAGTATACAGAGATACAACTGATCTTGCTGAAGTCACTTCTGTTTACTTGTGCTTCCTCAAATTTGTTGAAATGCCATGAAATATGTGCTTATGGAAATAAATTATTGAACAAGATTCCCTGTCCTCCAGTTTTCTCTTGTGTCTAGACAAAATTAAATTGGTTATTTTGGTTAAGATAATAATTGACATAATTTGTTAATATACTAGGTACAATAATTACGAGAAACAGAAATATGGATATAAATTAAGAGACATGATTAACTTGTTCAGATGGCAAATGTAATATTACGTTGTTCTGAATTTATTATTTATATATGTGCACAAGCCTAAATATATATATAAAGGCATACAAATAAATCCTTTACTGTAAGTTGTTACATGAACATATCAAAAGAGAAAAATTAGAATTTAGGCGTTTTTCTGTAAAATGACATTAATTTACACCCAGATTAGAAATCCCTTTTTTGTTACCAAATTATTAACTCTTGGTGTTTTCAGCTCACTAAAAAAAATACCTTAACTCATTTTTAAGAGATGCCTTGCTTGAAATATAAGTTCTTAGTAATCTTTGCTGCTTATCATTGTGTTTTTACAAAGTTTACTATAATATTTTTTGTCTTTACTTCAACTTATATCTTGTCTTTTTTAACAACTATTCTTGATTTGTTCTCAAATTTAGGCTCCAAATTGAGAATAATGACACTGTTAAATGGTCTTTTATGACTAAAGATCTCTGGGAGATAACAAAGATTTGTTCCTTTCACTCTATGAAAGGAATGACAATAGGCATAATTAGGTTTATCTAAAATTCTCCAAAAATTTGACTAATTTACATTTTTTAGAAAAGCTCTTTCATCTTTCAAACTTAATATTTTAAAAAATGACAAAACAAAAAGTATATCTTCCTAGGTTAATTATACTTACATATATAATTAGATATGCTAATATAAATCTTTTCCAATAACTGCATACTTTTAAGCTAAAAAGCATACTCATGCTCAAGCAACAAAGACTGGTACAGTGACTGTCTAGCAAAAGATTCCCCCCCTTCCAGGATTCTAGATTCACAAATCCTCTTCCCCTTTTGGTTCATGAAAAGTCTGAACAAGCACTTAATTACAAAAGAATTAGAACCAGTCGCCAAGGCATATCCTAGCTTGTATAAGAGCTATAGCGGCAATTGGCAAACCAAGCATGTGAAATTTTCAGTCAATTTAGCTCTTAGGGTCTTCATTAAATGAATGATTCCCCTATGCTCTGCAGCTTTCTCCATTGACAGAATAACCTCAACGTTTCTAGGATAGTCCTTATCTTCAATGAACACGCTGCTTTCCCTTCACAATCACTATCTTTAACACTGAATCCAACCACCCTCCTTCGTTTACCTGAACAAAGAACCCCATGCTTGCTTACCTGTTAGGAAATTACCCACCCTGCACAGACCTCTACAGACCCCCTCCCACTCCCCTTTCCCTGATTTAATTACGTTTGTGGATGGCTCATCCTCATAAAGAAAAACGAGAATTTGCCAAGGAAGCTAGACTATACCAGAGATTTGAATTTACTCTTAAAATGTAAGCTTCTCTTAGAAATGCAATCAGTTCCGATGGCCAAATTAATTGCTCCTGTTCACATCAGCCAGCTGGCAAAAAACAGAAGGTACAAATATTAATAGCGACATGAGGTATATGATTTGGGTAGGTTAGTTCACGATTTCGAAATGCTTTCTAAACACCAATTTCCTGACCGCTGCAGCAAACCTCTAGAAAATGGATGGCAAATTAAAGAACCTTGAGATGCTTTGCTCTCACCTAAGGAGGTAAAGCATAAAAAAAAGGCAGTTAAGAAAAACCGCTTCATATTATCCACCATAGAAGAGATAAACTGGCTTTAATACTGAGCCAACATTGGTGGGGTAACTGTTTTTGACAGAATATTAATTTTTAAATTCCCGTAACATAATTAACCATTTAAAAAACGAACAATACAGCAAGCAATTCGTACATTTGCAATGTGGCGCAACCACCACCTCTAATTCCAAGATATTTTCAACACCCCCCAAAAGGAAACCCCGAACACCTCCAAAGGGCTACAAAAAACGGTCCAGTTATTGTTGCTGATTGTCAGCATGGATGGAGGTTTTTCCTTGCTGGAAAGCTATAGCATAATGATTAAAAAAGATTTTGCTCACTTTTGTATTCCCGATTTCGGGAATCTCGAGTTTCTCTCTCCAGGGAAGAGGAGTGGAGAGTTTTACCAGCACCGTGATTCAGGATCTCTGCCAGACGCGCACACCTCCCTGCAGAGGCCGTCGGGTGAGAGCGCGCTCGAACCTGAGCGCCCGCTCAATGCGCTCCAGGAACAACAGCCAGAGTCCAATATGGCCGGATGGAGAGTGAGGGGGAGGGTACCCGGGAGAGTGAGAACTCCGAGCGCGGGCTCAGCCTCCAGCCATACAGCCTTGCAAGGCACTGGGAGGATTTGAGCGCCTGCACGCAGGAGACGGGGCGCTGTTAAAACGCTGAGTAACGGATGGCCAAAAATGATGTTCTTTAAAGAATTACTGCCTATGCAGAGACAAAAATCGTACCTTTACAATGGAGAAATCGGGCAGATAGCACCTTCACCAAGTGATCAAGGACAACGTCACCAATGACGCCATGTGGATACCAGGTCCCACCCGATACGAGGCACACGGTATGCAGCCAATACAATTTCATATGGAGTCTCCACAAAATGAAAACTCGCACCACAAATACTATTTTTTTTTTACCACAAATACTATTTATGAATGCATCGAGTGGTGGAAAAACATTAAATTAAGAATTCAGGAGGGGGGGTCATTTGCGAGGCGCACAGAAGTAAAGGCAAAGTCCGAATCTTAACCTGCGTGTTGAATTAAAAATTGTTTTATTGTTCAAGATTTTTATTTTGAAATGCTCCGAAGAACTGCAAAAACAATACAAACACTTCCCGTACACCCCTCATCCCGATATCCCAAATTTAACATTTTACTTTCAACTATTTGAGAGTAAGTTGCTTACATGATGGGAGCCCTAAATATTTTGGCGTGTACTACTAAGATACTCTCTTTCATAACCACGCCACAATTATTGAAAGCAAAAAACTAACAGTACTAATATCTAAACTGCAGAACTAGTCAAATTTCGCCCGTTTTCCCATGAACATCTTTTACAGTAAAAGAGAGAATTTTATGAGGAAAAAGCCCCGAGTTTTAATATTTTTCTGCTCCAGGATCCAATCCACGATCACACATTAAAGTTAGTTATTATGACTCGTTAAATACCCCATTAATTCCCTCAATCTTGAATAGTTCTTCATCTTTTGTCTTTCGCGACCTTGAAATTTTTGCATCTCACCGGCCGTTTTACCAAATAAACGTTTCATACAACCTGTTTAGGGCTTACGTAGTTCACGATTTAAAAATCGACATGCCACTCTGCGAGAGAAAAAAAAAACCCAGCCCAGAAACAGTACACTGCAAACACGGGTTAGCAATTAAATCAGTAAAACAAGGCGATTTATGGAGATATTCATTGACATGTTTAAAAAAATAGCTTTTTTTAACATGATGACGCAAACAAAACAGTACTGAAACCGAAAACAAATGTAACATGGAAGGCCCCTCCCGTGCCAATCACCTGCACCTTCTCCGGTCCTGGGAAGGAGGCCTCCGCCGGCGGCAAAAACCTCTCCGCGTCACAGACTTCGCTCATCCGAAGACGCCATTTTCTGCTTCAGCGGCACCAGCTCCCGCGCCCGCAGTCTCGCTCGGCCTCAGGCCACGCCCCCGCCTGCGTCACGAGCCTCGTTCCCAGGCGCGGGCTCCCCGCTCCCGCCCAGAGCCGTTGGGCTCGGATTTCGCTCTTCGGACTGACGTCACCGCCTGGCCACGCGGGGCCTTCAGGACCGCCCCCCAGAGCCACGTGACGCCACAAACCGGCCTCCGCCGCGGAGACCGCCCCCTTCCCAGGCTCCCGGCGCCATTGCGCAGGCCCGGGCCCACCTCCTCGGCCGTGTCTTCTCAGGCCCGTTTCTGTACAACCAATCGCACGCAGTTCTCAGGCGTGAGGCTCCGCCACAGGCCCTGCCTCTTTCCCAGATCAGTCACTCCATTCACAAGCACTTCCCCGCCCCTTATTCTCCGCCGCGCAGCCACTCCCCCGCCCCCACAGCAGCTCTGTGCACCTCCGCGCCATCCCCACCACAGCCAGCACCCCCCGCCCCCGCCCCATGCCCCCCGAGCCAGGCTCGCAGCTCAGCCTCACCAGCTTTCGCCGCCCCGCATTCGACGCGCCCGCCCAGTGTCGCTATTCTCGATATAGCCCCACTGGCTGTCCGGGTCTGGTATGGCTTCGCGCTGGGGCTCTCCATCTTTAGCCTCAGGAGGCGAGCTCCCTCCGACCGCCGCCATCGCCACTCGCCCTCTCCTCAGCCCCCTCAGTGGGAGATAGGAAGTGGCCCCTCAACCGCCACTTCCGGATTCTGGTCCCGGAAACGGAAAGGGAGCCCCCTACTCCGCTATTGGAAATGGACCCCCGCGGTGAGGCGAGTCCAAGGGTTAGATGGCCTTGGACCGAGGGCGGGGTCTCTGCGATCAGTGAATAGGCAGGGAGCTTTTTAAAAAAGACAAAGGTGTTTTGTGGGATTCTAACGCCATGTTGAGTCCAGGCAAGCGGTTGTTTGGAATGTGGAGGCAGAGTTCTCCCGGGTGGACGAGGATATACTGCGGAGTGCCCAAAGGCACACAAAGGTTCCCGGTCTTATCTGGTCCGTGGTCTGCTAGGAACCGCGGGTCCCTTACCTTGGGAGCGACGTTTTTCTTAACATGACCAAAATGCCCTTCCTTCAATGCACTACTCTTCTCGTCCCTCAAAACCCAATACAAAACAGGTCACCACTTCCAGGGCGCCACCCAGGCCTGCGGGCCACTTCCCTGCCGGAACTAGATTCTAATCTAGACAAATATGTTGAAGACAAGTCAGCCCCAGGCCCTGTATATCTGTAGGTAGTTACAGCAATAACTAGAAATAGTCTTGTTTTATTGCAGGTATTTAGGCAGCAGATAACATCACCTGGCGGAGCAAGCTGAAGGCCAAAAATATTCACTCACTTTGCCCCAGCTAGTATGCAGAACTGTATTCCTGAGCTGTGACCTTAAACACCAGGCCAGAGTTTCTCAAACTAGGCTTTCCACGGTTCAGGAGACCCTAAGGGAGTTCACAAAGTCAAAACTATTTTCACTATCATTCTCTCTCGAATATGCGGTGGAATTTTCTGGGGACTACATGACATAAGCCAAAAAAAAAAAAGCTTTTTGAATGTCAACTTTTATAAAAGGATCCCAAGATCAAGTTTAATAACCACTGCAGTAGTCTAGGTTTTCTCAGCCTAGGCACTGTTGGCCTTTCTCCATTGTGAGCAGCATTGTAGGATGTTTTGCTGCGTCCCTGGCCCCTACTCACTATAGATACCAGTAGCACTCCTCAGTTGGGACAACCAAGTGTCCCCTGGGGGAAGGGCAGGATTATCTCCCATTCAGAACCACTGCTCTAGGCTATTCCATCCTTCTCTCTGCCAGGGCTCTTGGCCCTACCTGTTGGTGGTAACTTCCATCTTTCAATTATAGTTGACATTCAATACTTTATTAGTTTCAGGTGTATGTTGGTCCCTCTGGCTCCCTGCATCTACCTTTCTATTGGCTATCCCCACATGATCATCAAACTCCCCAAATCAGGCTCATGATTCTGGGTCTGTTCCAGTAACTTCCTTCACTTCACCACCCATTCCCACAGGACACAACTCCACCCCCCCCCCCCCAATACACAATGTCATCATTTACTTCTGTCCCGTTAACCTCTTTGTGGCAGGGATTCTTTATTACTGTGATTCTAGCCCTCTGCCCACACCTGGCATAGGTGAGGGGTCACAACTGTTGTGCAAACTGAGAAAAGGGAGCAGCCCTTTCACCTGGGGTGGTCCCCAGAGTGTCATTTTAGTTTGGCACTTGGCACATTGCTCAAGCCCAGCTGCATCTTCTCTGAATTGACTCTTTTCATTGCCCCACTGCAGACTCCCCCTCCCCATTTACCTGGGTAGCCTGGCCTCCCTCCCCAGACCTGGACTGGATTGCTCTGCCTTCCAGAGGCCAACCTCTGCCCACATCAATGACCCTGCCACTTCCCAGAGCAGTTGTGTGAACTCTAACCTTTCCAGGATCATTTCACCCACATCTCACCAGGGTTTCCATTACTTCCTAGATACCATCCTCTGTTCAGCCTGCCTTACCTGCTTCAATTCAGAGTTCCACTGTTGCATGTGCAACCCCTCAGATGCCTTTTCTAGAATCATGACGTGTCCCTGACCCACTCCCGGTGCTCTCCTAGACAGCGGGGACCAGGTACGAATTCGCCAAGGTCCTAGTACTCACCGTGGGTCAAGTCCACCTTCACCTCTACAGGGATTTGCAATCACATTTTTCACTTCAGACTTTTTAATGTTTCATACAGCGATTATGGTGCATTCAGGAACCCAACCTCCCAAACCCCACTAGGAGGGCCCCCACCCATGCCCTCCCACCCCATTTGAAGGCCCCAGGGTTTAGAGTGGAGGAAGGGGAGGTAACTACCCATCTGGGACTGACCCCAGAGACTGTCCCTGCCCTGCCTCACCCTCCCCAGGGGTTAGGGGTTAACACCTGGGCACAACTCCCCCGGACATGCCTGTCCCTGCCTGTGTACATATACACACTATGGCTCCTCGCTGAGTTGGTCAGTTCCTGGCAGGGCCCCTACTCAACAGCACCGAGTGGGATGGGGGCAAGAGGGCTAGGCTGGGGAGACCCTGAGACGGAAGGAGGCCCCAGCTATGGAACTGCAGGAGGGAAAGAGTGGGGGCCCCCACTTGTCCATCTCCCAGAGTCTCCGGTAGTCCTCAGGTACCCCTGCAGCCTGGAATGGCAGGTGGTGGGGAGGGGGTGTGTGTAGGAAGGCGAGTGGTTGAGGCATGCTTGCCCTTAGCCAACCCCAGGATCTGGGGATGGTCAGGGTTCTGAATAGGGGCTGTGTCCCTGCCTTGGAAAGGCTGGGATCAGGGCTTCATTGCACAAAATACTTTGGGAGGGCCACGGGGGGTGGGGCCCAGCCAGTCTGTACACAGAGATATTGCATTTAAAAAATGAAAACCTCATTTAAAATAATTAAAAAAAAACAATGAATGAAACAAAAAAGGCCCACACAACATGAGGCAGGTGGGGCAGGCAGGAAAGCAGGCAGGGGGAACCTCAAACCCAAGGTATTGCCACCTCTTGTCTGAGTTGAGATCCCGAGCCTGGGCTGGCCGGACCCCTAGCTGGCCATGGGGTAGTGGTCCTGGGGGAGGGTATGATGGGGAGGGCTATAGGCCTGGCCTCAGTGTGGGAGGCTGGCACGGCCATGCTGTCCGCCGGCTACTACTAAGACAGAGAGAGAGACAGACAGACCAGGTGAAAGAGCGATGAGAGCTTTGTTAGCACCCAGCAGACAGGCCAATGGATGTTTGGACAGGCAGCAGGGGACACGTGGGCAGGCGAGCATGGATCAGGCAGGTAGGCAGGCAGCAAGCAAGGGAGGATGCAGTTGGGGGCTGCCCTGTGAGGGGTGTGGCATCCCTCCAGCTGCTGCCTGCTGGGGCCTGGGTCTGTGGCTTAGAACTCGGTGTCCACCACACGGAAAGCTGGCCTGCCTGCGGGCGAAAGCAGAGCCGATGGCTGTTGGTGAACAAGCAGGTAGATGGATGGGGCAGGGAAGAGGGCGAGGGCCACACCTACCTGAGTCAGGCATCGACGAAGAGCGAAGGTTGGCCTCCTTTTGTAGCTGGATCTCCTTTAGTGCAAATATGGAAGTAGCTGTGGGTGGAGACAAAAGTAGGAAATGACCCATGGGGCCATCCAGAGCCACCTCCCATGTGGCCCCACTGGGGGAATTAGAAAAAGCTGCCTTTTCTTTGAGAGGCTTGACTTTCATCTGTGAAATAATCCCACACAAAAACTAGCTACAATTAGGAAAAATGGAATATGGACTATTACATGGCACCAAGAAAGCATTATTTTCTTTTTTATTATTAATTTTTCAAGTGTGATAATGGTATTGCAATTATCACAACTCTAGGTGATCAGATGGTGTTTGGGATTTCATTTGGATTAGTCCAATGGGGAGATGTGCAAAGTGGGTCAAGTTTTTTTAGGTGTGATAATGACATTGTTATGTTTAAAAAGAGATTTAATAGACACATGCTGAAATCTTTTATAGGTGAATAATATGTCTGGGATTTGATTCAAAATAATCAGAGGGAATATAGGTTAGACCAGATTCACCATGAGTTGATGACCTGATAGAGAACTTGGGGACTCATATTATTATTTAGTCTAATATATAAATATATCTAATTTAAAACACCGATATTAAAAAGTTTTTAAAAGTCAGATGTAAAAAGAGAATACCCCGTATGATTCCATTTCTGCAGAGTACAAGGACAGGGGAAATTTATCTCAGCTGTGAGAAGTCCATCTAGTGGTAACCCTTGGGGAGAGGCTGGGAATATCTGAAGGAACCTGGCACACTTTGGGGGAGCTTCTCACATCCTGTTTTCTGACGGTATGCCTGTGTCACGTGTGTGTTGTGAAAATTCACTGTGCTCTATACTTATGATCTGTGCATTTCTCAATACATACTTTACAAGGAAATGTTTACAAAAGAAAAAGTGATACTTGATTATTATATACATTTGGAAATTTCCATGAAAGGTAGAAGGAACTGAAAACTAACAACTTGTTTGTAATAAACACGTCACACACGTGAACAAATGTGTACCGCCTTTGAGGTGATGTAGCAGAGCCCGACAACACCTGCTCGGCTGTCTACAGCAGTCTTGTTCCCCACAGCCCCCCACTGGCCCTCCCTTCACCAGCTCCACTCACTGTCAGGAAGTTTGTGGATCCGCTCCCCCAGACTGAGGAAGAATGGGTGTTTCATGGCGTCCTCTGCAGAGATCCGATTGCGACCTTCAAACTGAGGTGGGGGCTTAATATTGACACTTTCACAGAGTAAGCCTCTCTTCCTCCCCACCCGGAACTCCCCGTTTCCCCACACCCCCAGCCCCCAAGGCTGACTCGGGAAGTGGTCTCACCTGCAGCAGCTTGGTGAGGAGATCAGCCCCATCGCTATCAAGTCTACCACAAGGACAAGGGGACCTGCTTTAAATTGAGTTTGGGTACTCTGCCCCTCACCCCCCCGCACCCCTCCACTAGCCTCACCGTGGTGCATGGCTCAAAAGGGCCTCGGCACGGTACTTGGGGTAGTTGTGTGTCTTGAACTCTTCATTGGACAGGATGCCCGGCCATGTCTCCTCAGTTGGGGTTCCTGGTGGGAAGAGGCATTACCCTAAGCATCTCAGAGGGCCTCCCTGCATGTCCCCACACCTCTGAGGGCTCCTGTCTCCTCACCCAAGATGCGGAAGATGAAGTGCAGCTGCTCCTCCACTGTGGAGCCTGGGAAGAGGGGCCGGCCTGTGGCCATCTCGTAGAATATGCAGCCCACGCCCCTGGGCAGGGAGGGCACAGTGAATAAATAGGAAGGCCGTTGACTGGTTGGCCACTGTGACCAAGCCACCCCCCTTCACTGCATGGCACCTGCCACCCTGCCACTTGTCCTCACCACATGTCAATCTGGGTGGAGTAGTCTGTGGACCCGAGCAGGATGTCGGGGGGCCGGTACCACAGGGTCACCACCTCATTGGAGTAGGTCTTCGTTGGAATTGACTTGGCCCGGGCCAGACCTGGGAGGTGGAGAGAAGGGGCAGCTGGGATTGAGGTGGTCCTGAGCAGGCTGGGGAATGAGAGTAGGTGGTCATGGGGGAGGGGGAGGCTGGGAGAGTAAGGCTGGGGGATCTCTGGGAAGGGAAGGCCGAGGGTACCAAAATCAGCCAGTTTGAGCTCTCCTCTCTCGTTGATGAGTAAGTTCTGGGGCTTGAGGTCTCGGTGTAGCACCTTCTGCCGGTGGCAGTAGGCCAGGCCACGGAGCAGCTGGAACAGGAACAGCTGGGGACCCAGGAATGGCAGGCAGAGGTCACAGAGTATCCAGCATCCTGACTCCCAGCAGGCACTGCTCCCCCTCCCAAACACAGACACTGAGCCCAGAGCCTTGTCTCACAAAAGAGGACAGGGTCCCAACGCCCTGCAATGGCTCCCAGCTTAAGAGCCAAATGGGACGTCGTTTCTGGGAGATTTGTGGGGTGGACTGGGTGAGTGGCCCTTGTGCCCCTGCTTCCTGCCCCACACCCACTTTCACATTGTGCATGTTGATGATGTTCCCACAGTCATCCAGGTACTGCTTCAGGTCCTTATCCTGAAGAGAGAAGGCAAAGTAGAGGAGAGAGGGTCATATCCTGTCCGGCCGCCACCCATCTTCCCCCCGGGACTTACTGCCACTCAACCTTACCAGGTACTCAAAGACAAGGGTGAGGGACTTCTCCGTGTGGATAATGTCATGTAGAGTGACGATGTTGGCATGTTTGAGGTCCTTAAGCAGGGACACTGCAGGAAACATGGGGGTGGGATGGGGACGGGAGAAGAGTCAGGGCCCCACCCTCAGGATAATGACAAGGACTAGACAAGTATGAGACCAGGGTTTCCTTCTTTCCCTGTGCAGTTTGGAGTGGTGACTTGCAGCCACCAGCTCTAGCCCACCTGATGCCAGGAAGGTATGTCCCCATGTTCCAGATGTGGCAACTAAGGCTCAGAGAAGAGTATGGGACAAGAACATGGGACTGCAGCCCCAGGATTATGTGACACTAGATTTTCTAAACCCATTTTTGGTTTCTGGAAAGGGGCCTTGCTCCAACCCTCAGGCCTGTAGCTTTATATGAAACCGTGTTTGCACATTCAATTTTGATGCAATTCAAATCATTGCATGTGATGTTCTGACTAACTACTGTATCAAGTAAGTTGGTGAGCACTTTCAAGGATGTCCTCGGAACCAAAGCAAGAACCTTGCTTTCCACTTCTTCTGCCTCTTCTCCAAACAGGACCAGATTCCTGGTTACCTTGATCATTACCTAGATATGTGAGTGATGGGCACTTACCCATGAAGCCCCGAGTATCAGAAGGGACGTACCAGGACCCCCAGTCTCACTATGGGGCGTGTGTGTGCACACCATGGGGAATGCCCAGGAAGGCTGGGGCAGATCTTCCCGGATGTCTGTACCTTCTCGGATGGCGGTGCAGGGTGCTCCCTCTTCATGTTCCAGTCTGATCTCCTTGAGTGCCACAAGGTTGTCTGTGAGCTTGCTTTTACCTTTGTAAACGGTGGCATAGGTACCCTGGGGAATGAGGAACAGTTATAGGAGAAGAGCCTGAGGCTATAGGGAGTTCCCACTGATCCCCACCCCCATCATGGGCCTCCCAGCTGTCCCTCACCTCCCCCAGCTTGTCCAGCTTGATGTAGGTCTCCAGTTTCCCAAAGCCAATCTCAGACTGTGGAGTAAAGGGGACAGGTTGAAGCAGGCTCGGAGAAGGGTACAGGGGGGAGAGGAGGCAGGGAAAGAGGAGGAGGAAGAGGACAGGAATAGCAGATACTCACCAAGCTGACACGGCGGAGGCGGCGGCTGAGGGGCTTGTCAAAGATGGGGCTATTGAGGGTCAGCTTCTCAAGGTAGCCCTCAGGCAGCCGGATGTCAGCTGGTAGTGAGAGGCGCTTGTTGATGTCCTAGCAGGCGAAACAGGGGAGAAACAGGAGCATGAGCTCCACCACCTCAGGTCCAACCTTCTTTTCCAGCCCCACCACCACCCAGACAGGGGGGTTACGCACCTCAGTGGAGATCTTGCGAGGAGGATGGTTGCGCATGCGCACCCTCACTGGTGACTGCACCTCGTCTGAGGACGTGGCTGAAGCCTGGTCACTTTCCCCATCAGATCCCATCTTCAAGTCAGACCCCATCTTCAAGTCCTCGTGTACAATCTCTGGTGGTGGCAACAGGGGGAGGGCAGGCTGGGTGGAGTCAGGAGCCCCAGGACACCCTCTTCCCAACGAATACATTCACTCATCATACAGGTGTGCATATGGCCCCCAGAGCAGCCTGGGGTCTCTTAGGGAGAGGGTGGCAAGGCCTACGGAGGTTCAGACAGGACAGGAAGGTTGAATGGGGCAAGGGGAATAGTTACTTAGTGGAAGCCCAGGCTCCAGGGGTGAGCTGAGACTGTGGCTAGCCTGGGGCTAGGGGCAGGCAGAGGCAGCCAAAGACCCAGGACAAGCAGGCGCCAGGGGGCCTGAGGGTACTGGCAGAGTGTAGGAGAAGCGTAAAAGGAGGATTAGGGGAGCTGGGGCAAGGCCTGGGCAGAAAGCCAACAAAAGGGGCACAGATAGAGAGGATGGCAGGGAAGGGAAAAAAATGGAGAAATGGAAATGAAAAGACGCAAGTCTAAGAGGAGTTTGGCTGGAAAGCAGCACCTGGGAACCAGTCTAGGGGAGGAAGTGGTCAGTAGACCCACCTGGTGCAGAGCTGAGTAGTCCCCGCCCAGAGCAGGGTTCCCCTGGGGCAGCGCGGGTGGGGGCCTCTCCAAGGTCACTGCCACCACCACCGCCACTCTCATCCAGGCCTATCTGTTCAGGGGCACTGTTGGTCTTGTCTACACTTCGGCCCCCTCGGAGTGTCATTGACAGCTGCCGTTTGATCTTCTTCATCCGATCCATGGCGACCTGAGAAGGTGGGGGGAGCGGGGCATAAATGGGAATGGGATCCATGTTAGCATCTGCCTGACCATGGGCCCCCTAAAGCACATGACAACCTAGTGAGGCACACTGACACAAACTTTTGTCAGTGCCCGCCCAACCACTGAGGGGTCCTGGAACCACTTAGGACTTCTGGAAACCTGGCATGAACAGGGACCTTTGTCAGTGCCTGTCTACCTACAGCCAGCCCCTGGGGACCCTGCTACTAAGTAGCCCACCTGAGTACCGAGTCTTGGGTAGATGGCTGAGGGCAAGGGTCCAACCGATGGAATGCAGGTTTCTAGGGAGGCAGCCCCCCTGTGGGAGCAGCAGGTATTCTTGGGTGCAGCAGCAGTGATGAACCTAGCCATGGGTGGAGAGGGGGAATTGCCCAGGACCTCAGAACAACTGACATAACCCTGGACACGCCCGTAGAATGGCATTTTCTGCCAGCACCAACCCAACATCATCCCCAACTGCCAAGGCAGCCTGCTCTATACGGCTACAAAGACCTCTAACCTCCCCTAGCAACCATCGTCATGGTGACTAGTGGACTACGCCACTGATCTACCCAAGTGAGGGGTGTAGGGGGAGGAGGGTCTGGCCCAGACACAACCACTAATTGGAGTTGGGGGGGGGGGATCTCAATGAGTACAAGCTAACCTGACGGCTCCCAGAAAGGTTCAATCAGGTTGGGATTCATAGGGTCTCACCCAGACTTTTACAAGCCAGATCACATTTCTCCTGTACTTGAGAATGCACCACATCTCCCTTATCACACCCAATAAATGCTCCAGTCCTCAATATGGCTCATATGGTCTGACCACTTCACCCCTATTATCTCTCTGGCCTCACCTGCCCCTCAATCACTGCTAGTTGCTGTTCTGTAACCACACCCAGCAGTCTCACCTCAGAGCCTTTGCCCTGGCTGTTCCCGGTACCTGAAATACCCTTCCCCCAGATTTCTAAAACAGTTCACTCCCTCACCCCCTTCAGGCCATTGCTCAAATATTACCTTTTTCATGGATAACCCTCAACAAATAACCCTATTTATTAAAAATTTTTTTTTTTTATTTCAGAGGAAGGGAGAGGGAGAGAAATATCAATGAGAGAGAATCACTGCCTGGCTGCCTCCTGCGTACCCCCTAACTGGGGATGGAACCCTGACCTCTGAGCCTATTTAAAATCTCAACCATTCTGAGCTCCCTTCACCTTGTCAATTATCCCCCAGGATTCATCACCTCCTCAGAAATGAGACCATCTACTTATTAGTTTACTTTACTGTCTGTCTCCTCACAGCCATAACTAGAGGATCAGCTCCGCCAGAGTAATTTCTGTCTGTTTAGGTCACAGCTATATCCTGAGGACCTGGAACAGTGACTGACACAGAGTAGATGCTCAAAAAGTGCTTATGGCAGAAATTAATGAAGTCAGGGGGCCGAGGACCTAGGACCAATCTCTACCAGAGTGAGTCCCTGGGGCTCATGAACAACCCCAGACTAGGTGGCCCAGGGACGCCGGCATCGGCAGGAAGCTGACCTACCCAGATGGGGCTGCTGGAGGGAACAGGGCCACCTAAAGGCTTAGGCTGGCCTTCTTCTGCTTCCACCTGGGCTCTGGGCCAGCAAGGAGGGGGAAAGACCTGGCCCAGGAACCATATGGACTCACAGCAGGGCCTACGATGGCCCTGGGCCCAAGGGAAGTGAAGCTAGATAGGAGGTCGAAGATGAGGCTGGGCCTGGATGCGAGGAGAGAAGTGGGTCATCTGTTACCTTGAAATCAGGTGTTACTCCAGCGGTCCCCACACCCTGTCTCTGCCTGCCTGACCTCACTACCCTCAGGAGGGGTAGGGGGGCCAGCCTAGTAGAAAGACCGCAGTGAAGAGGATGAGTTCCATCCAGAGAACCCAGGATACCAACAAAATCCTGGCCCAGGAGGCTCAACACTGGACCTGAGACTGAGGCAGGTGAAGTATGGCCAGCTCCAAAGACGGTCTTGTGTCTGCATGGCACAGATCTGCAGTCCGTTTGTCTGTTGTCACAGGGAATAGAGGAGCTGGGCGGGGTAGGGGTGGGGGATTATAAGTAGGGCTGGATGGACAATGAGGAGGGAGCTAGAGGAGCTATGGGTGCATGACCTCTAACTGGAAATTCCAAGGGCTGAACAGGTTCCAGAGTTCAGTTTTGTGGGGAGTTTAGGAAAAAGGGGTACAAAATCTTTGTACCATGCAACACCCCCAGTAGGGGGGGCCCTAGTGGGTCCCTGTAAGTAGAGACACTTGAAGATATTAACTTGAATGCTCTCATAATACCCGAGGACACTTACCTCCTCACACTACACCGAACCACTAAGGACACAGTCATCACACTCTAGTAAGTCCCATAGGATCATACCATCCTCATCCTGTCCGGACTCCCATAAGCACACACTGGGCCCTCAATGTCCTCCTTTTCTCAGTATATACTGAACCTTCTAGAAGGTCCCTCTGCATTTTAACTGCTATCAGCACCTGCAATTTCCCTTTATCTCTAACTGCCGCCAGCTCACAAAGCCCCAACAGAGCACAGGACCTTCAAAGTTAACGCCTACCACATTCTTGGGTCCCTCCCAGGCCCAGCTGCCTTTTAGCGTCTCCACAGCACTTGCCCCATTAACACACTGTTCCCCCTACATGATTCTGACCCCTATTAACATGCACTTGGGACCCTCTACAGCTGACCCACATTAGCATTCACTGGATTTTCATACTGCCCTAAATCCCATGAACACAAAATGAACCTTGCAGATCCCTGACCTGTTTTCGTCCAAGCTCAGACCCCTCCACAGATATGACTATCATTACCACATATTCTGGTCCTCCCGCTAGCCTGTCTCTGCCACCTCCCATCGGCACAAGCTAGACCTTCAATTCACCCTGACCTCTATTAGAACATATTGGGCTTCACACATTGCCTCCCAGTAGCATACCATGAACTCTTCCTCAGCCCTATCTTCAGGGATAAGCACAGTGTTATGACCCTGGACTGTTCCTCAGCCCTATCTCCAGGGGCAAGCACACTGTTATATCCCTGAACCCTTCCCCAGCCCTATCTCCAGGGGCAAACACAGTTACATAATGGCCTGACCCTCATTAATGCACACAGGTCTTCATTCAGCCCGACCCCCCTCCCCCACATTTCAGCCAGCCATGGCTCTATCCACTTTAGCACACCTAGACCTTCACATATTCCCGTTCCTTATTTCTCTTTGCTTCAAGTCCTCCACAGCTAGAAGCCTGGCTGATTCACACTGGGATCCCTTCACAGCCCTGATTATCCTCCTTGCACACTAGAAACCCTCAACAGCTCTACCCCTCATTAGCACTCCCTGGAACCTCAACACATCCCAGTCTTCCATGGACACAAGAGCATACTGTCTTCGCAATGTTCTGACTCTCATTAGCATATTCCAGATCTCATACAGCTCTGACTCTCCCCCGACTGGCACACATTTAAGGGCCTCCAAGGCTCTAAAGCCACATTAGCAGTGCCTCTAACTTCATCTATCACCCTCTCTTCTTAGCGCACCCTACAGTCTTGCATCCCCGGCCCTCATGGGCACACACTGATCTCACACCATCTTGATCCTGAATACACTGAACCTCTCGCAGAGCTAACACACTTCCCTCATCCACAACTGACAGCCATTATTGGCACAGGCTCAGGTCTTCCACCCCTCTGCCCCCATAAGCATAGACTGGGCCTCATGCTCCCCAGACTTTTATTACCACATGCACATAACCCTCTGCAGCTAGGACCCCCATTAGCAAGGCTCAACACTCTAGTTCTTCCACTATGCTGCCCTCCACGAGCACATTTTGGCACCTCACACGCTGCAGTCCTCATGGACAAATATACCGTATTAACACCGTCCTGACCCTCACCACACAGGGCCTCAAACCCTGATCCTATTAGCACACCTGGTACCTCTACCCCCTTACCCCCCGTTAACACAGAGGACCCAATTTGCATATGTCAGCACTTCTCTGACTTCCACTCGCCTATTATACACGTTTGGGTCCCTCCACCCTCCTGCACCTCCCCCCCTCCACTAGCACACACTGGACACCATACCTTACCCTCCGATCCCTCCAAAACTCAGGCCCCCCCTTAGCCAACCTCGACTCTCTCACCACTCTGCCACCCATTTCTACACTCTCTCGTCCTTCGATCACCCCCCTCCCCATTAGCAACTTCCCACCCGCAGCTCCCAGACTGGGCCCAGGGCGGGGCCAAGGTCAGGGAGGCCCTGAATGACCCCCTGCCCCGGTGCATTCTGGGCAATTCGCTGCGGGGTGGAGGCCCGTGCAGAGTGTAGCCAGACCCCCGGGCACCGTCTGGGGTCTGGGTGGGTTCTGTAGAAGAAAGGGCAGCCCCCACCCCACATCTCGGTGACGCGCTCACCGGCGGGGGCGCGCGAGCAACCTCAGCGCCGCGGGGCCGGCGCGGAGGCGCCTGGGGCGGCGGCCCGCGCTGAGGCCGCGCGACCTCCTTCTCCTCCTCCGGTTCGCCGCAGGCGCCCGTCCCAGTAGTCTTCGGCCATGGCTGCTGGGCCCGGGCCGCCGCCGGCTGAGGAGGAGGAGGCGGCGGCGGCGGCGGCGGTGGCTGAGGCGGCGGCGGCGTCCCGCTCAGCCGGCCATGAGCTTGGCCGCTGCGGGCGATGCCCCCGAGGTCGTCGGCGCCGCTTGGAATCCGAGCGCTCACGGCGGCTCGCGGCTCGGAGCCCACTGCTTGCGGAGACGCGGTGGCTCCCAGGGCCGGACTGCCTGCGACCCAACTACCGCGCGCGCCGCGCTCCGCGCATGCGCACGCACGCGCTGGCCGGGGCGCAGTGGGAAGGAGGGGACTCACCTCGGGCTGCGCGTACCAAAGGAGCCGTCCGCCGCGGGAGGGGGCGCCGCCATTGCGCGCCCCGCAGGGAATGTGGCGCCAACCCTGGGACTGCGCCAAGGAGGGGTGGAGAGGTTGCTTGGTTCTCGGTTACGATCGTGCTAGAAATTTGCTCGTGAGCGGGCAGCAGCTGGGAACCGGCGGACCAGTCACCACCTGCTCCCCCTACTCGGTCTCACTTGGTACAGCCCCATGATAGCAAATGGGACTTTTGCAAGGAGGAAAAAGAGGAGGCAGCCTTACTCCCTTGAGGTGCTCTGGGAAGCTGGGATTTTAAAGGTTCGAGAGATGACTTTTCCTGGGAGAGGCTGCCCCGAGAAGCATTGGCCTTTACCCGCTCAGCAGCTCTCCCTCCCACTTGCCCCCACTCCCACACCGCTAGCTTATTCCCACTGTGACGGTGCGCGGCCCCGCCCTTTGAGGCCGCCCAGCCAATCGGATCTGCTCCCTGGGGTGAGGCAGTGCAAGAATGAAGGGCGTGGCTGAGCCGAGGAGGCGTGGCTTCGCTGCCTACCACACCTCTGCCTGGTTTTCATGGCCGGGAGGCGGGCCCTCCTTTTTGTTCTGAGCTCCTTTCATTACAGGCCAAATATCCCGCAAGGTGATTGGTCAAAAGAACGTTCAATCAACTTTTGTCCCGCCTTTAACCCTCCCTCCATCCTTTCTCAGCAAGGCCCACGGGGTGGAACCTAGGCTAAGAAAGGCGAACCTTTAAACGGGCGAGTACATTACTGCGCATGCTTGCGACTTAGGGCTAAAACCGGGGTTTCTTTTCCGCTTCAAGAGAACTTTTATGTTTGCTCCCAGAATTGGTGTTTCCTGCCACCTCTCAACTTATCTTTTTTTGCCCGCCAGAGCCCTGCTCTTGACTCTCCTGGCTCGGGTTTTTTACTTACTGGGTGCCTGTTGTGTCAAAGCATTGCCAGACAGACCTAACCCTCACCCCTCTGCCTATGATTCCCCACCAAGCCCAACTCACAGGACAGCAACCTTCAGCAGGCCTTCCGGGACAACTCTACACTGCATCTCAGTCCAAAGCCAGCTTCACCGCCTGTCCTGGGCTGTCCTTTATGACAGCCTTGCTCACACCAGTTAGTTCTTCAGTAAGGTTTATCCTAGTGGCGATATACCAGACCATGATGGGAGAAGAAACACTGTATTTGACAAGTCTACTGTGGGCTAGTCAGGTCCATGAGTTATCTGACCTCATCTCCTACCCTTCTTTCTCTCACTCCACTCCAGCCATACTAGTCCCCTAGCTGGTGCTGAATAAAGCCGGCACAATCCAGCCTCTGGGACTTTGCCCTTGCTGTTGTTCCCTTTGTTTGGAATGCTCCTCCCTCAGATAGTCACGGCCTCATCCCCTCACCTTTTCCAAGTCCTTGCTACAATGTCACCTTCATGAAGCCTGCCCTGACTACCCTCTTTAAAAATGTCTACCTGAAGCCCCATCATTCCAGGTTGTGCTACTCCCAATATCCATTCCTGAGTAAAGGGATGAGGAGTCTGTTTCCAAGTGGCTGGGTGAGGGACAGAGGTATGAGTGGCACCTTAGGCACATAGAGGCCACATTGGTGCTTTCAATTGTCTGGAGTGTTCAGCCAAGATCAAGGGCAGACAGAGTATGCAGTCCTGTTGGGGGCCTGAGGTGAGCCTCCTATTGCCTACTCTAACCAATCCGCCACCCACAGCTGACTCTTCTCAAAGTTAAGAGGCCTCAGGTCAGACAGACCAGGTGGGGGGCAGGGGAAAGAGACGGGAAGGACGGGGCAGGAAAGGGTCCTTTCCTTTACAGGTGTCCTCAGGTAAACACTTTCATAAGCCCTGCTGACCTAACAATATAGCATGGCAGGGTGTTAAGGAGATGGAGAAGGTAGAAGTGGAACCCAGCTCAAGTAAATTGGACCCCGGTACCTGTTCTCTATGGCCTCACCGGCGCCTCCACTTCTTCCTAAGCAGGGAGGGAAGGAGGAAGAAGGTGGCAATTCCCACATGTTCTCTGCCCAGAAAACAGGCAGCTGGGGTGGGGTGGTGGTGGTGCTGGGGTTAGCTTTTTGGGTTACCATCTGAACCAGACAGCTCCAGGAAGTCCTTTCCTTCCCTGGAACCAGCAGGACATGCCATGTCCGAGTTAATAACTGTTTATTAGGATTCAAGGTTCTGAACAATGTAGGAAGCAGTGGCAAGAGGGATCAGGTAGGGGGATGAGGGAATACCAGGCTTGGCTAGCTGGGCCACTGCCACAAGTCAAATGGGAGCCCTGGGCGGGAAGGGCTCTGGAGAAGGGGGACTTGGGGTCAGCGAATGGTATATCGGACGTAGGGGACCTCGACATCCTCGCCGCTCTCGTCGTTGCAGCACAGCTCAAGCACCAGTGCCCGCACATGGCGGCCCAGCTTTCGCTTCGACACACGGCTTACGATCTCTGTCATCCTGGGGGCAGGGGAGCAGAGTGTCAGGGAGGAAGAAGGGAGAGAGAGGAAGGGCAGGTGGGTGGGTGGGGGCCCAGGAGCTGAAGGGTGGTGAACAGGAGTGGGATAGCTGCAAGCTGAGGCTCTGCCACCCAACTCACGGTTGATCCAACCGTTCCTTGAGCTTGGCAGCTGGCATGAAGAAGGAGTAGAGCATCGACACGCCCTGGGACAGCATGGTGATCTCCAATTTATGCTCTGTCTGGAGGAGGAAAGGGGGGTGGGCGTGTCACAGGGGTGGACAGGTCAGTCACATGCACACTCCGCCTCTATGTGGGGTAAGAGTGAGGGAGGGGCCTCACCTTGAAGTAGTCAAGGAACTGTTTGAGGGTCATCTCCTCGCCATTAGGCTGCAGCCCCTGTACCTCAAAGCGATCCCACAACGTCCATTCTCGGTTATAGTACTGGAGGACAAGAAGCAGACCAGTGTTATGGGGGTGCAGCCCCATCACTCTCCCCCTCCACTTATGCAGACACGCTAAGCAAGATCATTCTTTTGTCCAAAGCTCTCGTGGCTTCCGCCTCACCCTAAGCACTGAAACCTTATGATAGCCATGACCAACAAGGCCCTACATCATTGCAGTCCTCCTCTCTGTTCCTCCCCTCACTCACTGTGCTCTAGCTACTTCTTTCTCAAACATGCCAGGCAGGCACACTGCTACCCTTACAGAGACTGGTCCCTCTGCCTGAAATGCCCTCCTCCCAGAAGCCTGCATGGTCTGTCTCTTCACCTCCTTCAAGACTGGACCCAAACTTTGTCTTTTCAGCAAGGTCTTTTGTGGCCATCTCACATTTAAAATCCCCAAACCAACCCCTCACCACCCGGTACTCTCAAGTCTTCCTTAGCCTGCTCTATTTTGGGGTTGCTCAAGAAATACTTAAGTGATTTAATAAATGAAGCAAGTAAAAGAACTTAGTAGAGTAAGCACCTAATAAATGCTGGTTGCTATTACTGTACAGTGATTAACAATCTCCTATTAAATGTCCCATCTTTTCTGAGGGCTTCCACAGGTAGAATAAGACCAGTGCTTAGCACACAGAAGGTGTTCAAAAAAACAAGGGGCACACAAAAGGAGCAGCTACACACTGACTGAAACCTCACCTGGCAAAAGCCTGTGAAGCAAACTAGAGCCAGCTGTAGAGAGAAACACCCCAACCAGAAGCCCACCTCCCCTGATGCAGACCCTCACCTGGTGACGGGGTGCAGGTAGGGGTTCAGAGAAGGCGAAGAAAGGCAGGGCCAAGTTGAGGAAACCATTCTTATAGGAGTCAAGCCTTCGGTGCCCCTGAACCACCTTGTATAGCTCCAGGCACACAAGGCCAACCACAGCGGCTGTGGTTGTGGCGATGGCTGGGATGATTTTCCCTGCAATCAGCTTGCTCTGTGAGGGCAGGAGAAATCAAGGAAGGTTGTAGTTGAGGAGGAGGATGCGCCCAGTCTACAGAAGGGATGGAATGCAGGGAACTCAAGCCTGGGAGGGGGTGACACATCAAGTCTAGATCCCCTCACCTTGTGCCGGTCTGCAGCGGGAATGTCATAGTTCTCTGCCCGAAGGTTGGATGCAGCCACAATGAAGTCGATATGGAAGTTGGTGTCGTCATCCTTTTATGGGCAGGGAGAGTACAGGAAGATAATGAGATCAGAGGAGGAAGAGGGC